TGGACATCGTTAGATCTGGAACGCTGGACTGGGCCTTTCCACAGGTGCAGATCCCCACCAATAGACCAGAACAAGCAGCGTGAGGTGTACTAGAGTGGGTGCTGCTCATATCACCTCCCCCCCCCCTCCTCCCCTCCCTTGGTAGACCAGGTCCGGTTTCCAACAAAAAAAAAAAAAAGCATGAATGGAGAACAAAGAAAAAAGAGAAATATGGCATACATACAGTACAAAGAAAAAACTTCAAAAAAAAGTCAAAAGAAAATATGGTTGATTGGTCAAACCGCCAATGCCTTTCCCTGCTTCGTGGACGTCCTACAGTTTTTCCCATCATGATGCGTGAATGAATTTAGCAGGGCGCAAGCAGGCCGGTTCATCCATGAAATGACCAGCGGGACGACGGACACAACTTGGCCCAATGCTTTCAAAGAAGGAAAGCCGAAAACAAAGGGGGGAGGAACGCCCAAACGGCAATCCGGAGGAAGAAGAGTAAATTACCCATCCCCTGAAAGGATGCCTGGCAGAATAATATAGACGACGGGAGGCCGTTCCTAGCACCTCTTCACGCCTAAATAACGATTACGAAATGCGTACTGCTATGCCCCTCGCTCTCGCTAACCCTTTCACCGGAATTGACGCCATATGTATCAAGTCACTAGCAACAACCCATCATCCGTCCTACATCCCTTCCGACCATACACATCTGTACACCCCTTTAACCCGAGTTAAGGGGACAGGATCAGGCTGTGAAACCCTTCCAGTCTAAGAGGCCCGAGCCTTCTGCTGCTGCACTCCCCTAAGCCCTTATAGCTCGAGCACAGCCATGAAGCTACACAACCTTTTAACCCTTATAGTCTAAGAGGACCGAAGCTAAAGCCTGTTAACCCTTGTCAAGGAGATAACCAATCTGGTCTAAACTGTTTGTTGAAGCCTCAACCAGTCGACGAGAGGAATGAAGCATCTGCTCCTGCTCCTCAGGACCTTATAGCTCCAGTGCAGGAAGGTAAAAGCCTGTGAACCCTAGTCAAGGAGATAACCAACCTGGCGTGGACTGTTTTATCCTCGATCAGTCAAAGGGAAATACCCACTTGCTGCACCTCACTGCTTCAGCCCGGATCAGGGGATTAACCCCGACTGGGGCGTTCTGTTTTACCAACAGTTAGTCGAGCCGGGGTTAAACCGAATTCAGGGGGTCAAACCGATGCAGTTCAGGGGGTTAAGCGCATCCAGTGTACAGTTTTCACCACAGTCAGTCGAGGGGGTTAAACCGAATCCAGTTTTCACCACAGTCAGTCAAGGGGGTTAAACCGAATCCAGGGGTCAAACCCATCTAGTGTACTGCGTGTTTAACCGCGGTGAGTCAAGGGGGGTTAACCTGGATCAGGGGGTTTAAGCCCATCTGGTGTGTACTGTTTCCAAGTCGGTCAGTCAAGGGGAGAACCCATTTACTAACCTCACCCCTTTAGCCTGGCATCAAAGGAGGGGGTTAAGTTCCGCCCGCCTGGCGTTAACCTCTGTCAGTGAAAGGGGCTAAGTAACCATTTGCTGCAACCCCTTTTCCCCCAACTGCCACCAGCCTGAAAAGGCCGTTAAACTGACTCTGGGGTTTACACCCATCTGGCATCGGGTGTATCATTTTAACCAGGCCGTCAACACGAGAACCCATTCACTGCGCCTCACCTCTTTACCCTGAATCAAAGGGAGGGGGTTTAAGTTTACCCATCTGGTGAAGCATTTCTCTGCCAGGGAAAGGGGGGGGCGGGGGGGTAACCATTTGCTCCGACCCTTTTCCCCCAACCACCTCCCAGCTGAAGAGGGGGTTAACCATGCTTAAGAGGGGGTTATCCATGCTTAAAAGGGGGTTAACCATGCTTAAGAGGGGGTTATCCATGCTTAAAAGGGGGTTAACCATGCTGAAAAGGGGGTTATCCATGCTAGGATACCCCCTTCTAATAATGCCACCTATGAAGCACAAATCGCCCATACCCTCCGCTCCCTTTTCGTGACCACGCTCAGGGCCTCGGCTGGTTTCTGGGACAAACCCAACTGGGGGGAATGAACCGAATCAGGGGGTTTGAAACCCAACTGGAAGAAAAGAACTGTGGTTAAAGAAAAATTGGCCATGTGAGAAAGAACTCCACTTACAGAATTCACCAACCAACGTACCAACCGAGACAACTGAGACCCTGTGGCGAGGACAGCAGTTGCAAAATTGGGCGGGGGGGGNTTTTTCTTTTTTCTTTTTTTTTTGAGATCGGCTACCCCTGATTCATTTGAACTCGTCCTTTTTCTTTGGGGCGGGGGCAGGGGGGGGGGGCGGTGTGAGCGGGGAAAAAAAAGACTTGAATGGGTGGACCCTCGGAACCGGATATGTGACCTGGATTAACAAATGTAATTGAAATGATGAAAATGGCTGCAATATGAGCTATCGTGGGGGTGCAGACCTACCCAGATTCTATCACCAGCCGAACACCCGAAGCGGCATGTCACCAATGCCGGCCTCCGAAATACTCACCCCTCCCGGTCAATCCCGAGCTCGTCCCTCTTTTCTCTTTAAAAAAAATAAAAAAACAGAACTCTTCCGTTCCGCCTGCCGTCTTTCCCACCCCCGGCCCCTCCTTGGGAATCACACGCCCCCGCCCTCCCACCTACACCACAAACTACATCAGACCGACCCCGGATTGTTCCCTGACCCCCCCAGCGCGCAAGCCCCCCAGGTCAATCGCTGAACTTTTCCCTTTTCTGTCTTTTTTTTTTGAAACTGAACTCTTCCCTTTCCCACCCCGGGCCCCTCCTTGGGAATCGCACGCCCCCCTCCCCTCAGCCACAGACTTCGTCAGACCGCAGCCGGATCGTTCCCTGACCCCCCCACACAACTCCCATGACTGCGGAAGGCTGCCTGACAAAGAGCAGGGTGCCTGCTCCCCCGGTGCCAAGGCTACCTCACCCGAGTTGGGCGCCCGGTCGTTATCGCTGCACCTAGACGGAAAGTCGCACCAAATGCAGCTATAATGACCGAGAGTTCTATTCCGGTGAAGTTGGCAGAACCCCCGTCATGTGGTCGCTGCATCGCTACCACACCACCTCTGCATGCAGCTTGTGTCAGGTTATCAACACCCAGGCCGTTATGTGGACGCCCGGTCATTATCGCTGCACCTAGACGGAGAGTCGCACCAAATGCGGCTATAATGACCGGGAGTTCTACTTCGGTTATCAACACCCAGGCGGTCCCTCCAGGGAACTGGAGGTCGAGCTGAGCAGCACGAAAAACGACAACCAGATACAATTCCAGCAGTCGACAGCACCCTCCTGGCAGCTCCAACCGACCCAAAAAACGTGTTTGCAAAATTATTACCCCAAAAAAAAAAAAAAAAAAAAAAAAAAAAACTTACTCTCGAACCTCCGCTGTGACCATGAAAAGCAACGATAAAAAAAAAAAGAAAAAAAAAAAAGAAAAGAAAAGAAAAGCAAACGATGCATCGGAAATCTGAAGAAGTTGAACACAGATGCAAGCTACCGTCTTCACCCGAATAGAACGCCCGGTAATTATCGCCGTATCCGGGCTGAAAGTTGTGCCAAATATAGCTATAATGACTGGGCGTTATACTCGGGTGAAGACGGAGGACACAGCCAGTGACACTTCTGTCTGCCCGGCGGCCCACAGCGGGGCCGAAGAATCTGCTCAAAGAGACATAACAAACAGTTACTACGACTAGAAGCGCACTGCCGCTCCGAGGCATATGTTTTTTTTTTTTTGCTGGTACTTCTGTCTGCCCTGCGGCCCACAGCGGGGCTGAAGAATCTGTTCAAAGAGACATAACAAACAGTTATTATGACTAGAAGCGCACTGTCGCTCTGAGGCATATGGTTGTTTTTTTTTTTTTTTTTTGCTCTCAGGGTTATCGGCTTTTCCCAGCCCAAGCTCGGAAATGGCCCTGGTAGCTTTTTTTCAAATCTGTTAAAAAAGTGGACATCGTTAGATCTGGAACGCTGGACTGGGCCTTTCCACAGGTGCAGATCCCCACCAATAGACCAGAACAAGCAGCGTGAGGTGTACTAGAGNTCAAGGCTAAGGGAGATGCATCTAACTCTGTTTGGACCACCACCGTCAGCCCACATCAAGGCTAAGGGAGATGCATCTAACTCTGTTTGGACCACACCGTCAGCCCACATCAAGGCTAAGGGAGATGCATCTAACTCTGTTTGGACCACCACCATCAGCCCAGGTTAGGACAGCTGACATTCGTGTGCACGAGAAACTCCACATTCTCCGACTCCTTGAAACCGACTGCAGGAGATTAACTACAGCACCACAACACCATATTGGAGCAGAAAGGAGGATATCCATCCCCCCTCAACCCCTTGACTAGATCAAGGGAGAACAGCCATGTTTGCAGTCCACCTTCAGCCTTCACCAGAAGACCCGACTCATCCGTGTTGCTGGTTTGACACGTGCCTTCCCACAAGAATAGCCATATACAAAACAAACACCTCTCCACCGCCGGCCATCGACACTACGCATCTGTACGTACCCATTTCAACTCCATGTCCAAATGACAAACGGTGGGGAGGGCGGTGGGAAGTGAGTGTCTGCCTGCTCCGGTACAACCCCCACAAGAATAGCCATATACAAAACAACCACCCCTCCACGGCTGGCCATCGACACTATGCATCTGTGCACCCATTTCGACTCGATGCCCAAATGACAAACGGTGGGGAGGGCGGTGGGAAGTGAGTGACTGCCTGCTCCGCGCTACAMCCCCCMCCCCGCCACGAAAGAGAGTCATCCGTAGGGGCCCTTCATATCTTTCCTTTATCCCCGGTCAAGAGTTCGAACACAGGTCATCATCAGCTGCACTCCTTCATACCTTTCCTCTACACTCGGTCTGTGAAAGTCATTGGTTCGAGCGCAGACTGTCCGCAACCTCGCTCTGTGAGGCATTGGGAAGTTGGCTGAGAAGACGCGCCAGTTGTTGCTGCTGAGGATTAAGAGCACCCAGACCAGCTAATTGAACTGCTAGGTTATTGCCAAACTGCTGAGTGCTGTCGAGGCCTTGAGAGAGTAAGAGGTTTCCGGCACCGAGATTCACCCCCCCAGGGCCATTGCCTGAAGAACTGACAGGCAAGTTCGGTGACAACCCGACTGCTGCAGGATTATTCAGGCCCATGGACACGCCCAGCTGACTGAGCCGGTTCAGATGCTGGAGCTGCGAGAGCAACAAACTTTGCTGGTGCTGCTGCTGTTGCTGCTGCTGCTGCTGATGCACGGCCGCACTCAACGCCTGCTGCTGACCGGCCAGTAGCTGCTGGCTAGGAAGCATCTGCATCTGCTGCAGAAGGGTCTGCTGGAGTTGATGTTGGTGTTGATGCACTGCCTGTGCTTGAGCCTGGGCATGCTGCTGCTGCTGCTGCTGCTGCTGCTGCTGTTGCTGCTGCTGCTGCTGCCGCAGATGAAGTTGATTTAAAAGGTGTTGCTGGACAAGGTGCTGATGTTGCTGCTGCTGCTGCTGCTGTTGCTGCTGGTGGTGGAGCTGCTGTGCCGCATGGTGCTGGGCCACGGCATGCTGCTGCTGGGCAGCAGCAGCAGCAGCCGCTGCTGCAGCCACTTGCTGCTGCTGCTGCTGCTCCTGCTGCTGCTGCTGCTGCTGCTGTTGCTGTTGCTGTTGCTGTTGCTGTTGCTGTTGCTGCTGATGCTGGTGCTGGTGCTGCTGATGCTGCTGATGTTGCTGTTGCTGCTGCTGCTGCTGCTGCTGCTGCTGTTGCTGCTGCTGCTGCTGCTGCTGTTGCTGCAATTGCCCAAGAAGACTGCTGGGAGGCACTGGCACGGTCATTCCTACGCCTCCGCTCGACTGGCTTCCGCTAAGGTGTGAAGCTTGGGAATTGGACTGCGATTGTGCCTGAGCTTGAGCCTGTGCTTGAGCGCGGGCTTGCGCTTGCGCATGTGCTACCTGTGCATGCAAGGCGGCCTGAGCGACTGCGGCCACTGTATGTGCCTGGGAGTGGCTCGGAACCGCTGAAGGAGATGTCATCTGCGAGAAACTGGAGGACGAGGAGGTGGACCCCGGGCCGGCCAAGGGCGCGTCCTCGTGCACAGTCGTCGTCGTAGATGCCGTCCGCCTCGGGAAATTCTGAAGGCAGGCCTTTGGCCCTGCTCCTCCATGTTTCTCGTTGTAGTCGAACAAGTCCGCCATGCAATTAACCACCTCGGCAATCTGAAGGCACCTCACATATCTCTTCGAGAATCCGAAATCATTGACGTTCGGGGTATCGAGCTTCGCTCCCAGCTCGCGCACCGCCATCGCCAGTTGGTTGCAGTGCACCCGTAACTTGGTGATATTCGTCTGAAAGCCTGCTGTGTTCTCACGTGCAAGCGCTGTCAGATGATTCAGCTGCTGGAGGACGCTCTTCTTTGGAATGATCTCCTCGTGGTACTCTGTGCAGAACTCCCACAGCCAAATCTTGAGGCCGGTCGTAAAAGTAACCCTCAACCGACCGTACCTCACAACCCGTAGCTCCTGAAAGACAGATTCATGCACCGCCCGAGGGAATTCCAGAACCAACTTGTCAGGTTCCTGTACGTAGTCCTCCGCTAAGTCCAGGAACATGACCTCCTCTTCGAGCCCACTTTCGTACTTGACCTTAAAAAGCCTCGGCATGATGTCCGTTGTCGATGAGAAGCCACCCCCTCGTCCAGGTTGCTGACCACAGAGTCCGCAGTACCAGGTTTCGTTCACCTGATTAGCCGGACGCGAATTCATATTGTAATTAGATAGGCACCAGCGTTTGGTGGCGCCCGGTGCAAAAAACTCCGCGACAAATTGCCGCCAAAACTCGATGCTATTGTTAGGCGGACGAAGTCTTTGCGCCCGGATGAACTGCATGAGGCGTTGAAGACAAGCACCCGAAACAGAAGAAGGCATCGGCGACCTCCCGGCATTGTTTGACCCGAGGGTGTTCCCGCAGTGCATCATACTGCCACTGCCACTCCCTCCCCCTCCAGTTGCACCAGGGCCAGCACCCTGACCAGCGTCCCGTCCACCGGCTCCACCCCTTGCAGCAGTGCTCCCGACAGGCGCCCCAGAACCACCACTAGTAACACCAGTACCGTTACTCGCAACGCCACCAGCCCCACCGCTACTACCCCCACCCCCCGTGCCAGCGCCCACACCACCGTGGCTGAGTGACCCTACAGAGTGCACCTTCCCTTCATTCGGAAGACTACTTGAGGTCGTTCCCGAATTCTCGTCTGGGGGGGGAGGGGGGCCTTGTAGTCTGCCACTGTTGGTGGTGGGCACACCAACCGGACCCGACGACCCAACCTGCGCCTGCTGCTGCTGCTGCTGCTGCTGCTGTTGCTGCTGCTGGTGCTGCTGCTGCTGCTGTTGCTGTTGCTGCTGCTGCTGTTCCTGCTGCTGGTGGCGATGGTGACTCTGATGTGATTCTACGGACTGCACTGACTGCACGGACTGTACCGACTGAACCGACAACCCGGACTGCACCCCCAGAGGCCCTGTCAAGGCGGAAGAGGCAGATGAGAGTGCAGCAGAGGATGGAAGGGCACTATGCAAACCCGAGGCTGCGACTACAGAATGTGCATCACGCCCCTGAAAAGAGGTGATTGAGCTGGCAGGCTCCGACTTCACGGCCGCATAAAGTGACGGGTGAATGTTTGCAAGGTCCACAGCTGAACGCTGCGCGTTCATCAGCGAGTTTATTCCCGAAACATCACCAAGGCCAGCACCCACCCCTAATGGCACTCCCAGACCCCCTGAACCCGGCATTCCTGGCTGCTGCCTTAGCTGTGCCATCATCGTTCAGCCCAACGTGTCGTATTCTCACTCCCCACTCCCTCCTTCCCCCCCCACCCTTCCTGCTTTCCAGCCCAATACCAATAGTCCGCAAGATGCCGTTTCCACCTAGCCCCCCCCCCCCCCCCCCCCCCCCCCCCCCCCTTAAGATTGACCAAGGAGGGTTAACCCATGTGGTTTACCAGTTAGCTAGCCAGTCATGGAAAGCAACTCATGCGGAGCACCTCATTTACACCCCCCGTACGTCCAAGCCGAATTTTCCGGATGAGCTGTGCTGCATGGCCGAAAAAAGAAGCGAACTGTTGTGGACATGATCATCGCAGCCGCTGCAAGCCTTATCTTTGGCTGTAGGCCAGAACCGCACTCCTCCCCTCCACCACGCTAACTGGCATTGTGGATCAAGGTCGGCGGGAAACTGACTGGTGATTTAACTCTGGTTACCCAGTCTGAGTACTCCACCCTTTCAGCCTAGGCCACCGTGTTTTGAACCCTCCACTCCAATACACCCCCCCTTCAGCCGGTGTCGTGGAATTTAAAGACCAAATGCTTTCCCTTGGGAATTGTTTATCCATCCCCCCCCCCCCCCCGCCCTTCCCCCTCTTCCATCTTCAGCCGCAAATCACGCAAACGGTTCATCATCGTGTCCGACCCTCTTGATCCGAGTAAATGTGAGCAGCTCCATGTGCTGCACCCCATTTTAACCCAAGTTCAGACGACCCGTCTTCACTGTAGCCCTTCCGCTACAGTCTTGATCTGTGTCCGACCCTCTTGATCTGCCGTTCAAGCGCACATTCTTACAGCTAAAGAGGAGTGGAACTCAGTGAATGAAGGAGAAAGAATGTGCGCTTGAACCGCAATGAGCGCCCTTAACCCTTCATAAGCATCTCCTGCAATGAAGGAGAAAGAACGTGCGCTTGAACGGCAATGAGCGCCCTTAACCCTTAATAAGCATCTCCAGCAATGAAGGAGAAAGAATGTGCGCTTGAACGGCAATGAGCGCCCTTAACCCTTAATAAGCATCTCCTGCAAACCTCCTTCCTAAACCACCGAGAGTTAACCAGCTGGTACACCCTTCAGATCTGAGTTGACGGCAGCAACCTAAAATGCTGCAAACCCCCCGCGTTAACCCAAGCTAAGAAGACCAGTCTTCACAGTAGCCCTTCCGCCTGCCTTGCTACTGCTACCAAGGAGCAAAGGAAGGAGAAAATATGTGCGCTTGACCGACAGTGAAAGCCCGCGAGGATAAGCATCTGCTGCACAAGTCCAGCCTAAACCACCGAGAGTTAACCAGCTGGTACAGCTTTTAGAATCATCTGAGTTGACGGCGGCAGCCTGAAGTGCCACAACCCATTTTAACCGCAGTAAATGCCCCCAACTGACAACTGCATTTAACCACAGTAAATGCCCCCTCCTGTCAACTGCATTTAACCGCAGTAAATGCACCCTCCTGTCAACTGCAACACTTGGATAACCATCTGCTGCACACCTTCACCGTAAACCACCGAGAGTTAACCAGCTGCTACACCCTTCAGATCTGAGTAGGCATAAGCAACCCAAAGTGCCGCAACCCATTGTCACATTTACGCAATGCGCACCTAAATCTTCGCCGCAAACCTTCAGCAGACCTCTTACATCCACATCAAGGCTAAGGGAGATGCATCTAACTGTGTCTGGACCACCACCATCCACATCAAGGCTAAGGGAGATGCATCTAACTCTGTTTGGACCACCACCGTCAGCCCACATCAAGGCTAAGGGAGATGCATCTAACTCTGTTTGGNCCCCCCCCCCCCCACTCCCGCCCTTCCCCCCTTACCCCCAAAGCCAGTTCTTCTACCTGTCGTTCCACGAGACTGTAACCTGCGCACCCCTCTCTTTCCTCCACATCAGGATTCTGCAAATACTGCACGCGACGTTTCCAAACACGGCACCTGCCAACCGTCCTTCAGAGCCATAGTGCGAGTCCATCCCCTTCCACATTTCCACCTACCTACCTCTTCTAACAAGCAGAATCTCATGCCATGCACCCCCTTACTCACGCTTACGACCAGGTTCGCAAGAGCACCCCTTACTCACTCACTTGCATCCAGGTTCGCAAGAGCATTCTTTCGTACCTGTCGGCATACACTCTCCGGAAACCCGTCACACCTGTCATGCGAGCCCCCCCCCGGACGCCCTTAACAGCTCCCTTATCTGACCCCAAGCTGCTCTCACCGAACATTTCTCTGCGATCGTGGCCCCTCCCCCACCACGTGTACCCCACCCCTCCCACATCTCACCTTGAGGAACAGATAGCATCATTCATAACTGCCACAACACCATCTCCCCTTCCGATGCGGTGTGCAGTTAACACATACGCCATGCTCAAGCTCCAGTCCTCGCCACCACTCCAGCACAAAACAAACCTCTCCCGTTACCCCTTCGCAACACCGCCACGTCCATTACTTGTGTGTGCCTTGCCAGAGTTGGAAAATTTGGTCACAGCTAACACCATTCTTGGCCCTGCAGTACAATGAACGCAAACCACATCACCACGAATGATGAGTGGCTACAGTACAAACTCGTAGACACGTCCCAAAACAAGTAAAGCCCGCAACAGTACCTGCTACTACGTTTACCTGCATCCTTTCCTTGTCGTTTCCATTTTTCCCTTCTTCTTACCTTCTTTTAAAACGGGCGACGCCCTTGAGATATCATCTTGAACTGACCGGCCCCGGATAATTCAGAAAACGATTTTTTTTTTTTCTTTTTTTTTTCTATTATGTTATTCAAATGGTTCCATCTCGATTCGAACTCGGGTCTGTATGTCAACAGTGCATGGGCGTACCGTCTTTTTTTTTTTTTTCCTTGGGCGTACCGTGTTTTTTATTTTCCTTGTCCTTACCTTTTTTCTCGTCTTTTGTTTTTTTTTCTTGTTCTCTTTCCTCTCTTCAGGTGGAATCGAGGAGAGCGGGGGGACGAAGAGGCAGGATTGACCGTACCTGGCAGGCAAAACTTATTTCTCTCTTCTTGTTCATATGACTTTCTCTACTCTCCGTTCCCCCCTCCCTTTGCCCAGCTGTTTGTCCCTTGTATGCAAAATGGTCCATGCAATGCACCATGTATACAAAACCCCTCAAGATTCATTGAATTCACTTAACACGTCTGATGTTTGTATTTCCCTGCAAATATCTCAAACGCACCCAGCTGACCACAATTGCGTCCAGAGCTTAGTGGAAATACTAGAAAAAAAGTTCTAGTGTGAATACGCCCTTGGCGTGTGAGTGCGGGAATCCCTGTGTGTGATTGTGAGGGCATACTCCCACTGGTGCTTTTTCACTACTTGTTTCTGAACAGAATTGCGACCAGATGCATACAGGTCTGGCCCTAAATGCGGTCCGATACATTTAAGATAGTGTTAGTGCGAGTATGCCCTGACCATGATTACGTCCAGAGCTTAGTAGAAAAAAAGTTCTAATGTGACTACACCCTGCGGGTGTGCATGCGTGAATCCCTGTGTGTGACTGTGAGGGCATACTCCCACCAGCGCTTTTTTACTACTTGTTTCTGGACAGAATTGCAGCCAGATGCATACAGGTCCGGCCGTAAATGCGGTCAGATGCATTTGAGATACTGCTAGTGTGAGTACGCCCTCCTGAGTGTGTCCCTGCGTGTGCATGTGTGTGTGTGTGTGTGTTTGGTCGTATTCGCTTTATACAAAACTCCACAAAAAAAGAACTGTGCCAGACTGTTTTATTGGACTCGGGGCCTTGCCGCACCACTTCACCAAATGCAGAAAAGACAAGAAGTATGGCAATATATCTTTCCGTGGTAGATTCATTCTCATTTTGCATATTTGGTGAGTGGTGCTGCGAGGCCCTTTGAGCCGCCTTCCCGTGCCACTCACGACACGAAAAAATGGTTGTCGAAAGATTCATCCGTCATTATGAATAGTAACAGACTTATATCGCTACCTTCTGCAAAAAGATGCACTCGCTTTTTCTTGAGGAGGTTGTGTGTGTGTGAGTGTGAGTGTGTGTGTGTGTGTGTGTGTGTGTGTGTGTGTGTGTGTAGTCATATTTGCTATACACTCAAAAAAGGCATGACTGTGCCAGACTGTTTCGTCGGACTTTCACCGACTCATCAGGAGGTTGAACCTGGACAGCCAGTCTGCCCAGGATGCATTTGACTGACTGATGGATAAGGACTCACCACATCGCCCAGAGTTAGCAACACCCCTCAGAAAAAGTGGTAGACTTTACAGTGTGTGTGTGTGTGTGTGTGTGTGGAGGCCCTTTCCCTGATTCATGAGGAGGTTTAAGTGTGTGTGTGTGTTGTCATGTTCACTATAAACAAGTCCACACAAAAACGCACGACCGTGCGCAGACGGTTCCCGTCCGACTTTCACCGACTCATCGGGAGGTTGAACCTGGACAGAGTCTGCCCAGGATGCATTTGACTGATGGAACACATCGGGAGGTTGGACCTGGACAGACAGTCTGCCCAGGATGCATTTGACTGACTGATGGACAAGGACTCACCACATCAACCGGAGGTTGCATTTCTCTATCTAGTATTTATGTGTTTCATCCTTGCGCAGGGGCCATACTAATCTTCTCTCTCTGTATCGTTCCAATTTTAACGGACCTCCCAGACCTTGCAATGGCCTACTTTTAAATAAATAAATAAATCTAAAAAAGTGCTCAGAGCTTGCAATACCCAAGCACGAGAGAGAAAAGCGGTCAAAAAAAAAAAAAAAAGATTCCCCAAATACAGCTATAATGACCGGGCGTTCTATTTGGATGAAGACGGTAGCAGCAAGGCTGGCGGTGCAAACGCCCAACAAGAATGGCATCAAGTCCGAGCAGGTTTTGTCATGTCCACTGTGCACAAGTCCACAAGAAAAGCACGACTGCGCCAGACTGTTCAGTAGAACTTTCACCGAGTCATCAGGGAACAAGCAGCGAGTTGTCCACAGTGACTCGTCGAACTGTTGTCATGTTCGCTGTACACAACTCCATAAGAAAAGCACAGCTTTATGCCACCGACTGTTTCGTAGAACTTCGACTGAGGGCATACTCGCACGGCGACCCCGAATCCGCAAAATATGCGGATTTGGGAAGGGCCGATTTGAGGTTTTGGGCATGGTTCACGTCACACTGCTGTACCTTTTCAGACAGGACAAGGTCGCAGCCGTCTGCAGAAATGGGGATTTGGTACGTGGCTGGTCACACGGCGCCATCCACAAATTGTGCAAGAACTTTGTGAACGAATTTTTGCCAATTTTCGAAGAAAACGCGAAAAATGAAATAGGGCATTTGCGGTCACCTCCAGAGGTGACCGCAAAATCCCTTGCCCTGCGGCTTCCCAGGCCGCTGCCAAATGAGCACAGGAATAGTACATTTGCGAATTTGGTAGATCCGTGTGACCGGCCTTTTCCCCTTTTTTTTGGGATTTTGGGAATATAGGTCCCCGTGTGAGTATCCCCTGAGTCACTTAGCGAATTGTCCATAGTGACACCCCCTGAGTCACTTAGCGAATTGTCCATAGTGACACGCCGACCGCCTAACAATCTCTCTCTCGTGTAAACGTTGTGCCAGTCTGCATCTTACCATAATTCTTTCCAAGTGCTGCACAAGCAAGGCCTGGGCTTGCGCCTTGTCTAGAATCTGGTCTGCAATCTCGTCTCGAATCTGGTTACAATTACAGATAGTTCAGTGCCTCGGACGTCATGTTGTCATGGCTTAGGGCATACTCAAGCGAGGACTTCCCTGGACACATCTGGTCGCAATTATGGACGTACCTGGATGAATCTGACCGCAATAACGTCCAGGGCTTAGTACAAAAAGTCCTAGTGTGCAGAGTTACCGGGCCATACATTCGGAGGCCCCCCGGGCCAACCCACGAACATTCCGTCGTTCGGGGAAGGGTTCGGGCCCTGCCAAACACCATTTCAGGGCCAAAATTTCCCCCCCTTACTATCTTTAAGTGAATAGTGGGGGGTCTCGCGTGATGCTCCCAGTTGAGACCGCTTGCCAGTGATGAAACATTTTTCGCTGGGCACGCGGCCGCAGACCTGCGGCGGCACGTCGGTTGGCCCGAACGTTCGAATACAAGTACATAGCAACGATAAGGCCAAGCAAGGTACACTGCATTGTTTTTTTTTAGTGTTCATGAACCCTTCCCCAGAACCTGGAAAAATACGTTGTCCTTCTTTTTTTGTCGTTTGGGCCCATGTCCTTTTTTGTCGTTTGTGCCCACTGCCCCGACATCCATGGCAATGTAACTTTCCAGGTTGTTTTCAAGAATTCAGTGTGCCGGGGAGGCACGTCAGTTGGCCCATAGCAACTATGGAAATATACGTTGTCCTTTTTTCTTGTCCTTTGTGCCCACCGCCCTGGCAGAGATGGCAAAATGCATCTTTCCAGGTTCTCGTGAAGGATTCAGTGTACTGGGAGGCATGTCGGGGTTGGCCCCAACGTTGGAATACGAGTACATAGCAACGAAGAGACCAAACGACTTCTCCAGAGCCTGGAAAGGCACATTGTCCTCTTTTTGTCGTTTATCCCCACTGCCCCGACCTCTTCCACCACTCTCGACACTCTATCTTTCCAGGTTCTGGAGAAGTATTCGTTGTACTGGGAACAATGGAAGTCTGTCGCTTGTGCACGGCGAGAGTAGTGGGGTGAGGCCCGGTGTGTGTAGGGGGCGCGCAGATACATGACGTTGGGTTATTGTTTTTTTTTCGGGGCAGATTCCTT